GTAAATCCTCCTGATAACCCTAAGGCAGAGAAAGATAGGTATTATTAACCTCATGTATGATTGTACCTGTTGTAGAGCCTGAAGCTTAGAGAAATTATTAACTTGAACCGAGTTGCACAATTAATAATGGATGGATCAGGGCTTTAAACCCAGGTCTGACCTATTTTATAGATGAGGAAACTGGAACACAGGAAAATTTTAGGTACTTTTCCCATGATCACACAGCCAGTAAGTGGTAGAAACAGGTTTTGAATTTAGGTCGCTATGATTATAAAACCCACATTCTTCACCTTTATCTTCACTGAGCTATCTCATTGTCAATATGAAACAAAGTGAAAACTGGCCTTTCTTTTTTGTAGTGAGTTATAATAAAGGAACACACTAATTTTGTTGTTGCCATATTAAGTATTTAGAAAAGTTGCCCAAGAAAAGAAAGTATAACTCAGCTCTGTTCGTTTGTTCATTCATTCATTCATTCATTCAATCATTATCCTGTCCATAGCAATTGAGTACCAGGGCAATGAGTAGTGAGCCAAACAGACATGGTCTCTGCCCCCAGTAATCTAGTAGAGGAAACAGTTAATACTAACTGTGATTAACTGTTTAAGCTTTGGGGAATTATGAGAGTATTGAACAAAGAAGTTTGGAAGGTCATGACATGTTCTACTGGTTTTGACATTTGGGCTGGGAACTGAAGGATACCTAGAATAACTAGACAAAGAAGGTAAAGGAAGAGGAATTTCAGACAGAGAATCATGTGCAAAGTCCCTGGGACACAAGGAGAGGCTGAACAAGTTAGACACAGTCAAAGTTCTCTCACGGTCCCATAGACCACATTATAGAATTTCATTTTTAAGCTAATAGCAATGGAAACTTGTTGATAAATTTAAAATGGCAATTGACATCCGATTCGTATTTTTTAAAAGGTCATCTCCCTGGTGCTAGGACTTCAATCCATGGAGATAAGGAAAATAGTATTCTCGTAAAAGGATTCCTACTGCTAATGATGCTAAGCTCTACTTCTTAGCAATTCCTACAAGTGAGAGACATAAAGAAAAATTTTGACTTTTTGAAGTCACAGAGTTCACCTACTTGAAGCAGTCTTTGACACAAAGGCAGCCATCTGAAGAGCCAATTAAAAACCAATACTAACCTATTACTTAGACAAGCAGCAATCTTTCTCTTAGCACCCACAGTAAGATCTCTTTCTTCCATCTGCAGGAATAATTTGAGGCACTTTTTCCCTCACCTCCACGATAAGTTTCAAAGAGAAAATATATTCATTATGTTATGAACAAGCCACAGACTGCCACAATTTCAGGTACTTGCAGGCACTGTGGCGCCTATATCAAGCTATGGAGTCATTTTTCCAAAATCCGAATATAAAGCCCCTATTTCTATCCTCCATTTGATTGGAACCATTCAACCATCCTGGTAGATAATAAGTTTGCATGTTCTTAGATTGCATTTCATTATGCTTCAGTTCCCCTAGAGAATAAACGTGCTCCTTTTCCCCACAATTGTAGAGGAGAAATACTTTTGACATCTCAAATTTCAGAGAGCCTCAGGAAGACGTCCCTCTTCTGGACATCAAAGTCTTTATTATTTTTTTTTTTCCGGACATTGATTTGTTAAATAAGAGAAGGCTGTACTCCTTCGTGGCAGCCAAAATATCTATTAATTTAAGTTTCCTAAGCAAAAAGGAATCTAAATCAAAATAATACCATCAAAATAATACCATACCAATACAAAGAAAGAATACCAAAAATCTCTTGTTTTTAGGGTCCCTCCTTTTTTCATGGAAGTACCAGCAGTGGAGATTGGCTTATCTTTTTTCTTGGTTAGAGCCACCAAAGACTTTTGTATTATTTTACTTAATTTTTAGCTTCAGAGAATGTTCAGTGCTGATATTTCCAAGGCTCGTTTGATGTTTGTTTCTTCTTTTGAATATACTCAGGTCACTTTCTAGCTAGGACAAACAAAATAAGACAGATAAGGTCCTTGACTTGCTGGAGTTCATGGAATTGATAAAGTTTATAATCTAGAAGCAGATGATAAAGAAAGAAATAAGAGGATCTTAGATAAAAATACATGCTGCTAATAATTAACACAAAGCTATGGGATAGAAGGTTCTGGGATGTGGGAAAGCTACTTTACCTGGGGTGCTCCCAGAACTCTGCTTGGGAGTTGTGGCTTTCAAGTTGAGACCAGGGTAGGAGAAACCAGCCATGGGCTACACCATGGAACAATTGTTCCAGGCAGTGAGGATAGCAAGTAAAGTGCTGTTGCCAAGTAGAACCTCCAATCACACAAAGCAGCTCTCAGGGGAGACAGGTCTACCCACGTCTCACTTCTGGGAAGTAACCTGGCTGCTCTGCACCTCAGACCCTCGTGTTCTGAATCCAGTACCTTTTCCACTCTGTCAAGTTGCCATGGTCATATTGCCATATCTAAAAAAAATACACACATAATTATAACCACAAATGCTTATTGGGATAGCCCGAAACCCAAATAAACCCACCTACTTAACAAAATCTTGGTCTGAATCTTCCTTGCAAAAGAATTTCAAATAAATTATATAGATATTCTATTCCAAAAGAGGAGGAGCATAACTCCGGTCATTACATGTGGGCTGCTCAGAGTGACTTCTTTCCAAAGAATACAGTATGGAGAGATTACCTTAGAGTTAAGAAACCTGATGAATGCTACTTCCTCCATATAATCAATATCAACATCAATAGTCAAAAATCATGTTGATGTCATATACACTTGATAGGAGTTGATGAAAATAGTACTTTCCTCACAAAAACCAATAACCTTTGACTAACCATGAGGCAAAAATCAGGCAAATTCCAGTAGAAGAATATCCTACAACATACCCTATCAGTACTCAAAACCATCAAGGTCAGGGGCACCTGGGCTCAGTTGGTTAAGTGTCTGCCTACAGCTCATTTCATGATCCCAAGGGTCTAGGATCAAGCCCTGCATCTCATCAGACTCCCTGCTCAGTGGGGAGTCTTCTTTTCCCTCTCCCTCTGCCCCTCCCCCTCCATTCCTGTTGTGTCTTTTGCTTTTTCTCTCAAATAAATAATTAAAATCTTTTTAAAAAAATCAAAATCACCAAAAACAAGGAAAGTGTGAGAAAATGTCATAGCCAGAGGGAACTTAAGGACACATGACAATAAAATGTGGAATCCTGGATGAGATTCTGGAACAGAAAAAGGAAATCTAAAGAAATATGCATATGAACTTTTACTTAATAAAAACATATCAATATTTGTTCATTAATAGTACCAAATGTGCCATACTAATGCAAAACTAATAAGAATAATAGTAATTATCAATAATAGAAACTGTGGACAGGGAGGGGAACAATATACAGGAAGTCTCTGTACTATCCACTTAATTTTTCTGTATATCTAAAACTGTTTTTAAAAATCATCTATTAATTTAAAAGAATCTCAGTCAAAACAAAATTAGTTAGGAGGAAAGATATCCCTAGTCAGATTTCACCTCTGTTGTAGTGACATTCCCTTCCAGTGACACATGAAAAATCAGATATAGCCATCTTGCAAACTGGCAGGAAAAAGAAATGCTAATAAAGAAGGTCAAAGTGATAAATTCCATTTTTAAGAGAAACTTCAAACATCATCAGTCTTGGGCCTCACCTTACCTTCTCAGTTCCATAGTACATTTTGATACTTTCTAAAAATGTGTATAACTCATAAAAGCAGAGGGTATATGGGTTTCTTTTAAGTACCCAACTCTACAATGTAACATGATAAAATGGTCTATCAGCTAAACTTAAATAAAAACGTCAACCATTTGAAGAATAGTCCCAGTCTCTAAAGATGTTCTCAACAAAGTAAATTTCCTCTAGATCCCACTAAGACTTCTCTCAATGAACATTTCTTGATTTATATAATATGGGCATAATATAGAAAGTGCTGTCTTTAAATAGGGAGAGGATAAATGATAGATTAGATAGACAAAT